TGACGATTCGTTGAATCATAATATCAACAGGAAAATCAAGAATAAACGAGAATCGTCCAAATCCAAGAATAATAACATCCCCCCCTTGCCTGTTTCTCCAAAAAATCCTAACTTCGACTCTGACGATTCCTCGACTAATAATATCGGCAGAAAAACCAGGCCGCGAGATGAAATGCAGCCGAACAAAAATAAGCAAGAAACGCACAAGTCTAGGAATAAGAATAATAGCCCATTACCCATTTCTTCATCCGCTCCTTCATCCGCTCCTTCATCTGCTCCTTCACCCGCCCCTTTAGCTAAGGAGAAAAGATTGAATTTCGATTCGGATAGCGATTCTCAGCCTCATCATGGCTCTACAGAAACCAGGTCATCAGATGTAAATCAGTCTAAAAGAACCAGTAAAGCATCACATGCATCCAAAAGTAACAGAAACAGTATTTCGTCAACAACTTCCAAAAAGAGCCGGAATAGTGGAACGAATGTTAATTTCGATTCAGATGAAGAGTCTTCACGTAATAGCGCTGATATCAAGTTCGGAAATCAAGAGTATCTGGACAGCACAACTACTCGACAAGCGTCAATCCAAAAGAACACGATTAGCCGTTCATCTACTCCAAATCTGTTTCAAACAAGTGGTGGTGCTGAAGAGAATTACAAAGAAAGGAAGAAAGTGCAGCATCTCGATTCAGCCAATAAGTTCGGTACTGCAGATATCGGGTCTGAGAATGAAAGGTCGTCCAGCCGAACTAATCAACGAGCGTCTGTATTAGGTGATGAAAATCAGGGTAACAGACATGCTCGCAAGTTGGGAGCTGATAACCCATTTAATGATCCATTTAATAGAAAAAATCGCACCTCGCGTACTTTTAATTCGAATATTCAGCTCACAGATCAAAATCAATATGACGAGCAATCGTCTTTCACGAACATCAACAAGGCAAACAGCTCTCCAAAAGGATACCAAAACTACGAAACTGATTATTCGTCAACGGTTACACCACAGCAAGACGACGGTTCTCACTTACATGATGATGATTCTTCCAGAAATGTAGGGGTTGAGAGGCAGCATGAGCAACCTACTTATACTACTGCTGATTTCATGGCTGAGATAGAGACTTCGCAAGTATCGAATGGTGCTACTTCCGGGAATCAAGTTCGCAACAAATCAAAAGCGGTGAGCTCACGAATTGTCGATGAACCGAACACCAAAATATTCTATGTGTACTTGCCTAAAAACTTGCCGAAAGAATGTGAGGCTTGGGTTATTGGCAATATTCCCGAATTGGGTAGCTGGAAAAACCCAATTGTCGGTCTTACACGAGTAAAACAATCAACTTATTGGCATTCGGCGCCAGTAGAAATTCCGACGGTTCGATTTGGAGATCACATTCAATATAAGTATCTTCTTACCGTTCAGAAGAGTAAGAAATCAATTTGGAGTTTGCGGGATTGGTTGCAGACAAAGTCTATAGTTTATTTGTATGAAGGTGATGGCGATCGTGATAACCGCACACTCAGTCCTGCGAATAACCAATATGACATCTGGAAGATAAACAGCCAGTACCATGTTAATCATAAAGATCTTGCATCGGAATTTTGCTTTCCTTTACTCATACTTAAAACAGTCACTGACGCTAATCTCAAAGACAAAATAATGGAGTATCAAAGAGTACTCAAAGGATACGAGGACCTCTGTATCAAAGCAACGCGTTTGATTGTCGATACAAATTCTTTTGAAAACTTGCTAGATGCACAACGTATTTTCCTGTGTATGTTGATTGGCGTCCTTTCAAAGTCGTCCAGATCCAATCAGGAAATCAAACTTCCGGAAGCGTTTCCATCGGCTGATTTCTTGGATGCGCTTGGTCGCATAGACGAGAACACTCTGCTCTCAGACACAGAAACGAAACAATACATGTTATATGCAGTTCGCGCATTAGTTTGGCATAATTCGAGATTTTCAAAGTCATTCGATTGGATGAAAGTATTTCACGCGGCAGTCTTTGTAGATTCAACTTATTCGTTCTTGAATTACGTTGAGAGACGCGACCTTGACCCTGACGAAACAAAACAGTTCTGCAAGTCTTTTATGACTAATGTCAAGCCGCATGCTGAAACGACGAGTGACTATATGTATGCGAAACTATATGGAGTAAGTCTTCTGAGCGTGGGAGTCGACTTTGTCAATCACTTTTTCGGGTCCCGAGTTGTTATTAACAATATTTATATACTTTCAGGGTTTTATCGAACGATCTAACAGCATTTACGTGCTATCTTGCATTTGGACGTCCTTAACTAAACCTAATGAGCAGTTGACTCAGGCGTGGAAAGCACGTCTGGCCCAAATAATCAACACTGATGACGCAACGAGTTTGCTTAATTATTATTATAAAGTCCCAAATGATCTGGATATTGATTACCGTTCCGTGTTCGTCAAGAGAGCTATGATACTGTTCGACATTCGCAAGAACTGGAAGAAAGACGATCTCGATGCATTTGTAACCTTGTTTAGAGAACTACAATGGACTTTGGAAGATCAATTGGAAGTGCTACGACGTGTATCAGATTCCCGGCGCATGGAAGTATTAGAAATATTTGTGGCTCTAGTGGAAATCGTTCATCGAAGAACTCGTCCAAACTCGAATGTGAATGAAAGAATCGATAAGTATTGCTCAGAATGGCTCGTTCGCATAGTTACTGAGCTGAAGGAATTACGTAAAAATGTTCGCACTAATACACAAAATAATGTTTGTATGACTTATCGTCAATTCTCCATCATCTATCCTATCGTTGCGGACAGACCAAAGGTTAAAAACGGATTGCTTAATTTTGTCGAAAAAGAAATAGATCAGTATGGGGATGAGCTAATTTATGCTGCAGCTAAAGACATAGGAAACTTTTCAGAAAAAGATATCGAGACATCTTTTCGAAAGATTTTGCGTAGAAGACTTGCACAATCTTCTTGTAAAGCGGACGATATGCTACTGAAAAAAGTTAAACTGATATGCGGTTGTGATGGCGAACAGATCCGAGTTCCTAATAGGTGGGTTATTATGAAATATAGCTTTTTTATTCTTGATTTTTCAGTTTTAATGATGGAATCTTTTATTGAAATAGCTTTTGCGAGGATATTATACTTTACATTTTGACTAAATTACAAGAAAGTGCTCCGCATGAAGGCGCTGAAATCAGCGACGATTTCCATAGGAGCTTATTAGAGTCGTCGAAATTTTGGATTAGCCTGCTAACCGCCACAGGTGAAGTAACTCATATTAGACAGAAGCATCTGTATAGCATAAGAGTTATAAAAGCTATCAAAGATTTGACGGAAAAGCTTCGAACTCGAAAAATCTCACTTGGCATGCTCGAGTATGTTCTTAATCGTACGGATAAAGATCTCGCTGAATATTTGGCTATTGTTAATGACAAACAGTCTCTTCCTATTGAACCGTCAACTTTACGAGTATTTCGAGACAAAATCAAAGCCTACTACAAGACTTTACGTGAACTCGGTGATTTTTATGAAGGATTTTGTCAGAGGGCCAGTGACGCTGTAAAGTATATTAGTGATATCGTTGAAAGAAGAAGTTCTCGTGACAAGATTCTATTTAAGGACATTTGGTCAAACGAACACTGGACAATGCATCAACCGATAATGACAATTGCGGAGCGCATATCTCCATACGCCAAATTAGTAACATTTAGCAATGTTTTTGAAATGTCCTTAAGTAAAGCAATTGAAGCAGAGACGATGAATGTTATAACCATTTCTCAGAAAGTCATATGTACAGCATTCGATGAGTACGATAAAATACGAGCTACTCACGAAGATTGGGCAAATTTAACGTTCAAGAATGCAAAGCTGATATGGAATAATGTCGACAACGCGAGGGAAGAATTCAACTTCATGTTGAAAGACACGAAAATAAAGTCTTCAGAGGATCTGTTCAGATATATTTTAATTTTATCGAAAATATCCGACTGGCAAGAGCGAGCGGAAAATATGCATGCAGTTGTGCAAGTTTTCGAAGTCAAGAATGACAGTGGTTTAGATTTTGAGCAATTGAGCACGAGCCTTAGTAAGGAGGAAGGAATGTTAAAAGATTGGAGAAATAAGTTCGATAAATTTAACAAAATAATCAAAGAGCTCGATGAAGATTGTTGGAAGATGATCAGGGAAATGGCCAACGCATGTGATTTATTGAAATGGCTTTATGGACTTCGGTCGGACGCGTTGGAAAATGTAATTAACGGAGCAGATGATCAATCTGATGAACATTTGATCCAGGAGGACACAGTCTCTGCCCTCATGGAAGTTAGGCAATTTGTGACCCCGCTTAAACCACCAGAACGCTTGAAAATTGGTGAATTTTTCGCGAATATTCGCCAATTGGCTGGTAAAAACAAAAATCTTGTAGAGAGAATCTCGCGTTGCAGTGCAAACTATTCTGCTCTGAAGAACATGTACGATGGCATTAATAATAGGGGGGAAGTCACGAGAGTGCGCATTAAAAACGCCGCGACTCGAGGAATATACACATTTACCCGTGATGAAAATGGAGACCAGTGCTCCGTCGAGTTGTCGTATGAGACCGATAAAATTCCTGATAAAAATTCTGATAAAAATACTGATAAAGTTACCGATAAAGAAAGTACTGCCAGATACGGCTTAGCTGAATTGCAGGATTTGCGAGGTCGTGCTCTACTTATTGCTAAACAGGAAACAGCAACTTTGGCTACGAACAAAGGAACTGGCGCAGATGGTTCGGAACAAGAAGATAAACGTGCAGTTCCCGTGATGATGAAATTCGTTCGTCAAGTAGACTATGTATACCAAATTATTAAAGTTGCGTCAAAACTTATAGAATTGGGACATTTTGCTTATCGTAACTTTAATGCGGTGACTGCCAGTATTGAAAATATGGAAGGATTACTTCGTAGATTGCGAGACGATTTGAAGGATTGGTAAGTTTTAAGCTTCATGATTCAGCGATTATTGAAAGATTTGTCGATATATTAAATGGGTTTCTTGTGTGCAGGGAAGAGATTGTAAGCAAAGCGCAAGAATATTACTATTACTTGACATTTTACACTGGAAGACATATTTTAGCGTTTTATGATTATTTCAGCCAAGATGCAGTTGTTGACGACGAACACAGGCAACTTTGCCAGACATTGCTAAATTTTGTGAATCCCAATGCCCATCTGCCATCAACCGGCGGGATTGTGAAACTGGATTTTGCGAAGCAAAACTATAGGGACGTGCTACGTAGTATCGGAGAAAGGCTGTCTGAAATATTTGATCATGTGGATGTTGTTGTCAGGGAAATCCCACCCGACACAATACAGGAACCAGTCATCTCTGACATTGCTCGAACGGGAGAGTTGTTCGTAGCAGCATGCAATGACAAGTTTCGAGTTCCAAATATCATTATGTCGTTGTATGCTAATCGCGGCCTATACCCCGAATCTTGGCAGGTTTTTATATGTCGTACAACGACTACTGCTGAAGAACTCACATTGTTTGTTAAAAGGTGCTTTTTTGCGACAAGAAATAATTATGGGAAGCATTTGTTCTGCATTGCCAATTTAGAATTTCTTGAATTTGAGCTTCAATACGATCTAGTCAATGATATAAGAACGCTGCTTGACCGAAGAGAACCATTCAATTTAGCTTTAATCTGTTGCAGAGAAAACGGAATTCATCATCACATTCTCGACCAGTTTTCGAAACATGTAGTCAATACCGTGGGACTCGAGATATCTTCTATGGAAAGCATGTATAAAAAACTCTGCCCAAATGTCAGATGTGTATCTTCTGATTTATCCGGACAAGGCAAAACAGAATATATAAAGCAAGCTTGTATGGAGACCATGTCAATCCCAAGAACCGTGTTGATAAGTGACGGAATGCGTTATGACCGACTCGTCAGCCAGTTGCATGAATGTAAACTAAAGCATATGGAGAGTTTGCACTTAAATATTGTTTCAGTTGACGATCCTGCTGAAGTCAATACCTTTATTTTTGAATTTTTGACGCTTGGCATTGTGTCTAACAGAGTAAATATTGCTAGTCTTCCGAAACAATCTGTATTCATAGAAATCGCATCTACTATGGAACAATATCTCCTCGAATCACTACCGATCGTCAAGTGCTTGCCACAAAAACATCTTACGTGGGACATCAACCGCTTTATCGTCTCAAGTGAGATTTATAATCCGATACAGATCGTGTGCCGCTACTTGGATGCATTCAGGAGGGGTTCAGTTGATGACAATGATATCTCTTTTGGACAGGAAGGTGTTCAAGAGCCATTATCCGCCGTCCGTTGTCGGGAACTCATACAACATTATTTCTTCGCCGACAACCCAACTACCGTTGCTTCTTACCGATTTGTAGAGATTTTTGTAAACGTTTTGGCTGATCAATTGGTTCGTCTATCGTCAAGTTCTTTCTTCCGCGTTGAAAACCTCAAGTTGATGTCACAAAATAGCAAAGTAAGATCAACATTATTGGACACGTTACTATATGTGTCAAAAGATTTTGCCACACGTTCTGTCGCGAGCAAAGCCGCACAGTTAGTGTCAACTGCTAAAGACGCAGATAAAGCGCGACTAGCCACCATAGCGCAATGGGATGACTCAAATCATTTACTAGTGTTCTTTTTGTCACAAACACCAGACTCTATTTGTGCTCTTTATCGTGATAGAAATAAAGTGCCGGAGAACGTTAAACGTCTTTTGTGGAGCCAAAAGGCGCAACATGAAAGTTTTAAATCGTTTGCCTTGGAGAACTATGGTCAAATGACTCCTCAAATTCTACAAGAACGTCTGGAATGTATAGCTCGTACATCAATGGAAAGTAAAAAATTTGACGATTATGCGTTATCGGCTGATAATCTTATTAAAATGGCACTTATTCTGTTGCGAGCACGCGCAAATATTCCGGTCGTTATTTGTGGAGAGGCTGGATGTGGCAAGGTAATATTATTTTGTTTCGCCAATTTTTATTTATTTTGATACTATATTAACCATTATTCTGCTGCAAACAGACAAGCCTAATAGCCTATTTGGCGAGAGTTATTGGTGTCCCATTCCGTAATCTCTCTTTGCATGCTGGTATTGTTGAGAGCCAGATCACTCTATTCATGGACAACGGAAATGCTGATGCTGAGAAAACTGAAGATGAAGTATGGCTATTTTTTGACGAAATCAACACTTGCAATCACATTGGTCTCCTGGCGGATTTAATAGCCCACAGAATGTTCTTAGGGAAACCAATCCATCCGAATATTCGCCTGTTTGCTGCTTGTAATCCTTACCGATTGTCTGTGAACAATGATAACGTAGCAGGGTTAAAGAAAACAAGAGTATACAAAAGTCATCTTGTCTATCAAGTTCATCCTCTTCCTGATCAAATTCTTGATTATGTCTGGGACTTCGGTGTGCTCAAATCCGAAGACGAAAAGGTAATCTTGTAGCTTGATTGCACTCTCATAATGAAGAACAGGGTTCTAAATTCTTCTTTTTAATAATAGTTGTATATAAAAATCATGGTCGAAAGCGAAAGCGAACTAAAAACGAATCCAAGGACTTCTGCTATGATTAGCGACTTGCTTTTTAGTTCCCAAGACTATATACGCTATATCGAAGGACCGCAGAGCGTAAGCTTACGCGATGTCAAAAGAGCGATCAAATTGATTATATGGTTCCAAAAGAGTCTCCAAGATAGAAGGGAACTAAAAGATCCGAAGCGGAAAAATATTAAGTATAAATATCAAGCAGGCAGACACCTGCCCGAGCTTCCCATTGTTCTATCATTGGGACTTTGTTATCAAGCGCGACTTTACCATCAGAACGAGAGATTCGAGTACCGTAGACGGATGTCAAAGATTTTCATGAAACATAATATTTACGTGACCGACGAACAGTTTAAAAATATGCTTTACGATGAACAGAGAGATTGGATAGATAGAATGACATGTCCACCGGCAACTGCTCAAAATGAAGCCTTATTAGAAAATGTACTCGTAATGATAGTCTGCATAATGACACGAATTCCAGTCTTTATTATTGGAGCTCCTGGAAGGTAATTAAAAATACTGCAATCATTTTAGAAGAGAGCGGATATTAACTGCTGTTTCTTGTTGCCAGTTCTAAATCACTATCGATGCGACTTGTCAGCTCTAATCTTCGGGGCGTTGATTCGGAGAATGCGTACTTTAAAACACTGCCACAAGTGATTATCCAAGTGATTTAGTTGTCGTTTCTACGGTCTAGTTCTAACTTTCTCATTTAATATCCCCAGGTTATTGTAATCCCGCATCAAGGTTCGTCAACTTCCACGTCTGACGGAATCGAGAAAGTCTTTCAGAAGGCAACAAAATTTCAAGAAAATAGATCCAGAAATTTCAACGTGCAAGCGGTGGTTCTTCTTGACGAAGTTGGTCTAGCAGAAACAAGTCCGTTCAATCCCTTAAAAGTATTACATGGACTTCTTGAACCCAGTTATCCTGAAAAAGAACCGAAGGTGGCAGTGATCGGAATAAGCAATTGGAGATTAGACAATAGTAAATCAAGCAGGGCGTTACTTGTCCAAAGACCTCAACTAGACGAAGATGACCTTGTGAACACGGCTGAGGCTCTTCTTTTGGAAAATCAGAAGCACTGGCTCCAGTGGAGGAATTCGAATAAGCATAGGATACAAAACATTGCTAGATCCTACACAAACTACCAAAGAAATCAAAAATATCCCAATTTTCACGGTATATATATTAATCGTCAGTTTTATTTTGTTTATTGTCTAATGCATCCTGAACGTTTTCTGCTTTTTCAATAGGTTTACGTGATTATTATGCTTTGATTAAAAGTTTGAATGAAAAAGAGCTTACCGGTAGGCATGGTTTAGATCTTTTATTATTATAATGGAAATTTTTTAGGTCCAATTCCTTATCTAACTGATATATGAAAATATGGTTTCATTATATGTTTAGCGGAATCGATACAACTGGCGCTCGCACGAAATTTTGGAGGCACTGACCAAATGAAAACAATATGCGAATCTTACTTCGGGAATGTCTTGAATGCGTATAGCAGTAGATTCTCCGGTTATCAGTACTCTCCCATCTCAGTGCAAAAGCTGATATATGAGAACCTGAAAGAGAAAGATGGAAGACATTTAATGGTTATTGGGAAAAGCGATTCAATCGTTAACCTCATTACATACTATTTGAGGTCACTTCATATGGATCCAATGGTCCTATGCGGGTCACAATTTCCTGACGATGCTGACGGAGACTATTCTTATGGCGTACTGAGTAGAATTATGGTAAGAAATTAAGCCGTTTAACAAGGCGCGCAGATTTTATATTTGCTGATTATTATTTTCATTTAGATGTGTGTTGAAGCGGGAAAACCACTTGTACTAACCGACCTGGATGCTATATATGGTAAGTCAAATACTTTCAGCCAATAATGATGTCTTCATTCTTTGGCTTATATATTTCTGTTGGTAGGGAGTTTATATGACCTTTGGAATCAGAATTACATAACACATGGTAGCAAAGACGATCCCAAATACTATACAAGAGTAGCTTTGGGTGCTTATGCTAATCCACTGTGTTATGTGCACCCGAATTTCAGATGTGTTCTTATCTTTGACGAAAAACAAGTTGCTGCTGCAGATCCACCTCTTTTGAATCGCTTTGAAAAACAGCGATTAACTCTTGGTGACACACTCGACGGGAGGCAATATCAAGTATTTCTCGAACTCAAAAACTGGGTTAAGCAAATGTCGACACTAATGCAAATTGAACACGTCAATACAACTAGCGGATTTACCGAAGCAGATCTATTTATTGGATATGACGAGGGCGAAACGCTTCAGAGTCTAGTGATACACGAATGCAATAAGAATGCCAATACTAATGACAAGGTTATTTTAGAAAATTGTAAGGCAAGGCTTATGGACATAGCATCATCAGATGGTTTGGTCAGAGCCAGTCATTCTTTAGAAACCACAACGTCGGACGATGCCAAAATATGGTGGGAGATTTATTTCGGCGGAGGAAAACATGATACTATGGCAGTCTACTTTGGACAATTGGAAGAACATGCAGGCGAAACATACAAAGAAGGCCATCAACTGATAATACACACATTCAGCAATATTAATACCGACATAAAAGAATGTCTCGGCGAAGGAATAACATGCCAAGTGGACAAGCTGTCAACTTTCAAAGCCGAATCCCAATTACAAAATAGAGTTAAGCATTTTTGGTTTGAGAGTCAAGATGAGTTGCTAGTTCTTCAATGCGATCTATCAATAACAAAACCAGGCTGTATCAAGCTAGCAAAATTTATTATTGAGCAATTCCGTACAGAATATCTTGCGATAAAGAATGAGAATAGCAAACCCAAACATGCATGTATTATATTACATCATCATAGAGACCAGGGCAACAAAAGCTCATTCAACTTTATGTGTGGATGGGATCAGATTACTATCGAGTCTTTGGGGAACCAAGAGAAACCTTTGTCTGCTCTCCTAAATAGTAATCTATGTGATGTGATCGACTCGATTTATCCGTTCGAAGAAATCTTGCAACAAGAGCTGATTTGGTGCTTGCTTTGTGTTAAATACCCATCACCTGCACAATCAATCGATCGTATTCGGTAAGTTTCGACAAGTGTTTATATTCGGTCATAAAATTCGTTAGTATTTAATGAATATGTTATCTGAAGACAATTGGTAGATGAGATTTCCGGCAATGAAGCATTTATGGAAATTTTGAAGAAAAGAATTATGCGCTGGATAGAGGAGAATGTACAGGAAGACTGGAAACTACGAGTAGCATTGGATAAAAAATCCCTCTACCTTCATTCATCGTTTTCAAACGCGTTGCTAGCTCACGTCCGCATGCTTGTCAGGAAGCCTATTGCTCAACTATTGTACGAATTGGAAAAGCAAAATGCTCTTCTCACTTACTTCCTCATTACCAGGGAAGTGGCCGATAATGAAAGTCTACTCCGTTTGTGGGAGGATATGTTCATGGATGAAAAGATTATAGATATAAATCTGACCACAGATCCAAATCCAGAAGTTTATAATATGACAAATCACCTGTACAATCTTCGATTCCCGTTCTCATCCTATTTTATGGAGCAAATTAACAGTTTCAAACAATTGTATATGGAGGCAATCACCCTTGCAGAAGAACAGGATGAGAACTTTGACGAATATGGGGAATTGTTGCCTAACGTGATTGAAGATGAGTTAACGAACTTTGCTAAGAAAGTTGAATACCTTCTGCCATTACTCAAATCTGTTCCGTCTTCAGATCTTTATTTCAGAGATTTTGTGACCGTTATCGCTTCGAATTATGGCGGTGACAGAATTTGTCAATTTCTCGCTAACCTTATCAGTCATACGATTGGCAAAGAGAATGTGTTGGATCCTATCAAACTTCATGCATGCTGGTGGACAAAGTCAGACGCTGTGCTGGCGCAATTGCAGTTGACAACATTATGTCCCACTATCATCAATGCCGCGCTTGATTACGAGGACGATGAGGCTAATAATTTTGAGCAAGAATTGGTCAATGAAGCTACTAGTATGGCGCTAGAACGTTTGGAAGAGCTCGCAGATTCTGACGATCAGGTGACACAATGGCAATTGGATGCAACGCAAATTTTGTCTCATTGCGTTCAAATTTCAGTATCGTCATCGGTGATTTCATTTCAGTTACTTAGAATATGCACTTATTTGCTTTCAACTCGGGCTATCCCTCTCAATCGGCTCGTACAACTTGTCAGAGAAAATGACGATATCTTGGAGGATAAATTTATAAGCGAGATATTCAGTATTATGAATGGATTTGAGCCGACAGAAAAGAATTTCTTCTCCCGTCAAGCATTTATAACACGCTACATGGATTTGATTCCTATTGATTCACCCGCAAAAATACTTCTTTATGAGAAAATATTTGCGCCGGCAGAACCGTTACCGTTTACCGCATCAGTCGTTAACCATATTTTTGAACAAGTTGAGGGTATCTTTAAGGCAATAATCAGAGATTTTGATGGCGCATTAGAAAATTCCCAGCACTTACAAATTATTAATAACGCACTCTCAAAGCATAGTCCGGATTCTCAAATAGCAGCTCTTTGTTGTGATGTCATTCAGCAGAATGGCTTTCGCGAATTACGCATGGAAGAGCTTCTACAACTTTTTTCTGAAGCGACTCAAACTCTCCGCACCACTACGGCTAGTGTCTTACAGATCATCTGTTCCGTCGCCTTATTGAAAAAATTTGTCCATACACTTTGTGATTCTATCGACTTGGAGAACGCATTGGAGCATTCGATTCAATTCAACTTTATGGAAGTAGATGAACTGACGGAAAATATGAATTACATAATGCGTTTCGATCACCCGCAAATTTACTCTATCAAGGTTTACTTCATGAAACGTCTTCGTTCTCGTGGATTTACACTAGACGACATTAGGAAATTTAGCAACATTCAAGGTCACGTATTTCCTTGGCTAGGCGACTTAAACTGGGCTGATAATGAAGACAACACTCGTCTTCCCTTCAATGCATACTATATTACTCCAGGATACGCGAACGCCGAAATAGCTTATGCAAGCTTCAGTAGGATTCACGACAGGGCTCCCATACGTGAACTTATACAAGAAGCAGATAAACCTAACAATGTTAATGAACGCCTTAATTTAATGGGCATAATTGTAAATCATGTATATGCTGTAAGAACACGAGGATGCAGTCAAGTCGAAACAAATGCTGCTGGATTTTTTGGCGTGCAAATTAACTTTATGAAACATTCGGTATACAAGAGGGTAGCCATAAGCGTTGTCAACGATAACTATCCCCTATTGCGCCTTCATCCACAAATTAACAACACAGAGTTAATAATGAAATCCGTTCTAATGCATATAATTGCGGTCCATGCATCGCTTCCAGAGGAACGTTCGCCGTTGACTTTGTATTTGCATAGACTGGGAAGAACGAGAAATAGTTTCATATTGACATCTTCCTCAGATGAACAGTCTAATACACGTATTGTCAAAACCAACCTCACTCGGTAATGTTTCTTCTTTCTTGTGTCTTTCTTTCCATTCCAAATGACAAAAAGACATTGACATCCACGATCTTACTTATTTAGGCATCGATGTCGGTGTGGCTATATTTACATAACAGCTAATTGCGAAGGAGTAAATGCGTCTCAAGAATGTCCAGAATGTAAGAAGATGATTCTTGGCGGCGAGAATTACGTAATAGCCACTGGCCAGACAAAACTAAACGCTAACCCAGACCATCCAGGTTACATATTTGAAGATGTGACACGAGATACTAAAAAAACCGTGCGCGCACTGACTCCGACTGCGTACCGCATTCTCCATCTTTTCGTACATACTTTGATTGGAGTCTCTGGCACTGTACAAACAGCCGAAGAATTTCTTAACGCTTATGGTGACGTCATACAAGACCCTTATTTATATTGCCAGCAACATATAATAAATGACTGGGAAGTTTTGAAAGCGCTTCTTGCATGCAACGATGAAACTCTGGCATTGGTCATGCACAGTATTCTGTATTCTATTTTGGAAAATAAAACCAACTTAAGTCCATACTTGACTACCGCAGAGGCTCGGAATTTGTGGGAACAAGATTTTCTCAATACACATGTTAACCCATTTACAAGAAATGTGTCAGCCACAGCCACGAATTTACGAGAAAAATTGGAAAGGGCTAAAGTTGATGGAAACACGCAAACAGCAACGTTTGAGGCTGAAATAGATGAAGTTTATCAGATGCCTGATACGGATCGTAGGCTACGCCTACCAAGACTATGGAGACACGTTGAGCCTGCAAGCAAGAAGGGTTTTAAGGCATATTTTATCAACAATCCACAGTACAAAGCCGCTTTTCCGTTCCTCGACTTATTCTTTGAGTTTGAGGAAAATTTGTGTGCCGTAAAACATCTACGATCTCTTGTGAAATTTACTCAAATCTTGGCGAGGCGCCTGGCGTATCGAATGACACGACAAGAAGCGAAGACTACGACATTCCGAGATTTTATTAATCGTGAGGAAAACAAAGATTCGAGACAATCTCTTGAAACTGCTTTCGAAAATTTTATGGAAGCTTGGAATGAAGTTCGACACTTGGTAGATGCCCCTCAAATTTATGTGGACACGCGTATTATTTTCGGACTGATCGAAAACCGAGATGAAGGACTACATTTGTACGCCATGTTGAAAAGTTTGATGCAACTTCAAAACAAATTTCTCGCAAAAGTTATCCTCATTCCACCTGGTCGTTGTGGTTCGCTAAAGTTTATTGAACGCCAGGTGATGACGGTTCAAAATACTATTACGACGCAATATTATATAAAATCAGTTCGCTTACAAGACGCGCGACGATCAAACTTAGTAGACTACGAATGGAACGATGAAATTCTCAAGTATAGTCAGCATAACTTGGATGACAGTCGTGGTCAAGAAATTTCTTACGATCTGTACAAAATTGAAGCAGAGCTCGCCCGATGGATTGTATTTAACAAAGTATTTTTAGAAGACAGCAGCGATGACGAAATATCATTAGGCATGTTCCCTTACCACAGGGAAATGTTTCGAGGTTCGCTCGATATTCTTCAAGACATCAAACGTGAAATACCTCAAGAACCGATTCCTCAGGCGCTAATTGAGTCAATTACCGGATCCATGGAGAACGGTAGTATGGAGGATAACCGTTTGCTGGAGCGTCCGCATGTTTTATTATCCGCTCTTGAGATCCTGATATGCTTTGTGAAAAGAACAAACCACAACGATAACCAAGTCCTTATCAAAGATTATATTAGCGATTGGCTAAATTTATCGACTTTTGAGCATAACGAGGAGATAAAAAAAGTACTTGGTTTGAATTTAAAGCTCATGCATGTGGTCTCGTTATATGAACTGGCGGAAGACCGAGTAGGTGACGTAGTCATCAGTTCCATTGATGACAAGTATAAGGAGCAGCTTACGAGCGACTTGGTGAGCGACATTAATGACGCATGCACATACGACAATGCCGCTGGTAAGATTCCAGCCGCTGCCTTTGCTAGAGCTTTGAAACGATTTGCATTGAGGTGTCTGTCAGTAAGGCGAGAGCCACCTGAGACTTCTCTGTCGCAATTGCTGGCATCAAAAAATTATTGGACGGATAATGTTCCTGAAGAACTTCTTGTAAGTCAACTACCGAAAAAATTAAGAGTTTGCCACACATACTCTGCCTACATGACGATCCAAAGCGAGATTGAGGTGAGTTATTTCGAAATATCTAATTGAATGGTATTAAGACTATTTAGGCATTGTTGAATTTAACTCTATCGCTTTACTATTAGTGGAGGAATAGTCGCTCCAAACGAACGCCAAAAGGTTCAACGTTTGCGCTGCCGTCGAAACCCAAAAGGAAAAAATTTGCCGACACCTAATATTATAAGTTCTCTACTAGTTGGTGTTGATCACGACATTAGCAAAATATCCAATTATCGAACATCCAACATAGTAATTTGCTAGTACCAGCATTTTTTATTCGAGAATAGTTTTTATTAATAAACGAATTCATACGTTTATCATGATATCCTCTCCTAATTGGCAATTTCTAAATATGCAACCGGGAAAAGTAGCATCTCGTCCGTATTACAACAATCAAACTTTGTGCTGAACTCTTATGTCTAATAACAGTGTGTTGTTTACCAGTAAGAGCTTCTTTTTTTTTACATCTCCTTCAAGACATAGATACAACAAAAAATTATTTGGCCCACTGGCACATATGACATTTTCTGATGACGACGTGCGTTTATCGACTACTAGCTAAAGAGTTTTTTTGAGCATATATCTACTCATACATATAGCTCGGACGCTCTCTATTACGCATGCATCGTTTCTCAACAACGTCTGCTCTTCCAAAATGTCAATACGGAAACCATTCTTTATATTACACAGATGCGACAAAATTTACCGGGTGATCGCAATGAAAAAGGGCATAGATAGGTAATAATCGACTAACTGGCTGTTGTTTTCTAGTTGGTTCACTAAATGGCTGCTCTTCTTAATGCATGCAAGGTTAACTATCCTATCATAACAATAATGAAAAGTCGGGGGAACATTTTTTATATCGAATTATTAATTAACATAATTTACCCTGCATAGTCCCTGAAAATCGGATGATCGACATTGTTTATTTTCCCTGCGGAAAATCTTTTTTTTTTTTTTTTGCAATATTCATATTGTAATAACATACGGTGACAAAAACTGCATATCTCAACAACTATGGATTTAAATTTAAGTTTTTTTGAAGGCTTACGAGATTCTACCGCCATTAAACTCAATTAGTGACTATTTAGCTATAAATTCCATTAGCTTGTCAGTAGTTTGCGCTTCTCAACGTTGGTCTTTATGGCTCGTCATTCATTTTCAATTGGATTAATGTCAAGACTGCTGAGTGTTTGAGTAACAATATTTTGGTAGCATATAACCCGTACTTTAGATTATTGTTCTATTGCATCCACAAGACGAGTCTGCAATATTTTCCCATAAAGCACTGTCAATCATGTTATTCTCCATTCGAGAAATGCGTCACGCGCCGATTGCGCGATATTTGGTTTTACGTCCGTTAGTTTGCTGTGTTAATTTCTCGAGATTATGCTCAACAATACGAAGTGTATTATTTGTTACATCACGTATTACTTTGTCCAAATAAGTGCCGATAATGTTCTAGCCTCACCATCTTTACGAAAGTATAAATACGTAAACACTCATGAAACCAGTTTACTAGATATGAAATGAACAAGTAGCACATTATTAATAATACATTTCATTAACCGTCGTTTTTTCTTTAACACATTGTACAATTGGAAAACCGATATAACATTTAAATTCGACGTCCGGTGTTATTATTGTTTTGTATAATTATAATCATAGATTAGTCGAAAAATTTGATTGGCTACTCAGGCGCTTATGTTATGCGTTGATAGTAACACGGGACACGTTAACAACATGTAATAGTAATGCTCTCTACTGCTAAAAAACTTGTTTTCACGGAGCTTTGCAAGCTTAGTTGAGCGCAGTCCCCATCTTTGCTCTGTAATGGTATTTGCATACGTGTTTGATATTGCCGATATGATAAAACGTTGTCACTGTATTCTGCATCCATGGATTTTCGTCTTAGCGTTAGCCTTGATTACTCATATCTCATTGCAATAATCAACAAATTTTCAGAAAGGGAAGCATATTTAATGTGCAAATAATCACGAATCATTACATAATCGTGTATAAATGTAAATAATACTACTACGAAAGAAAAAATAAAAAAGAAAACATTCTATGCTTGATTGAACTTCTGTTTCTGCGCTTTCTTCGCTTTAACACTGGTATGTGTTTTCATAAGAGGACGCTTGTTTGAGCTGGCCATAGATTGCTGCTTAGAACGTATTTTCTACATGATATGATCGAATTAGTCGTTAGTACACGAATAGATATATGAAAGTCACCTAAGATGATACTCACATCCATCTTCGCTTTGATCGCACAATAAGCCGAATGACTATGAGCGACAAGCAAGTTTTCTGGAAAGTTATCTTCAACAATCTCTTCAGATACGTCCGACCAGAAATTCATCTGACTCAAATATAAATTGAGATTCAAGTTCTCGTCAACCGGTTTTACAGACAACATCCTCAACGCAAAACGCTTCAAGGCTTTTGCAAAAGCTGCAGCAGGGATTTTCCCGAGTCTACCACCAGTGTCTTCAAATTCGCATGCGTTCATCAGTTCATCGTGTATATCAACCGGCATGTCGCGTTTGTATTGAGGATCAACACAGTCAATAAGCAAATCGGCTACTCTGTCTTCCACCAACTCGTAAAGCGAAACGACGTGTTTTAGTTTTAAACCTGCTTTCAGTATCTTTTTCATTTCCACATGTTTCTCAAGCGTTTCTATTTTCATCCATTGCTTGACATAATCATTTAGAAGGACATCACCGTCACCGGTGGACATTCTCTTGACAAAGCATAAAAG